GCTAACCCATAACTATGGAGTGATTTTAACATGGATAAATTGAGTTAGCAAAAGATCTGAGTGAAATGAATTCAAAAGGTGTTTTGTTGGTGAGCTGTGCTGGTAGAGAGAATAGGAATGCATCTTCAGTCCACTAACAGAACACTTTGTTAATTCAGGTAACTCAGCTACTTTTCAGAATTGGCAAAAATCTCTTACAAGATTTGATCAAGCCTTTCAAAAGAAATGCGATCAATGAATTTAGGCACTGCTGAAGCACTGGCCATTCGGAAGTTCAGACCAGCACTGTCTGTCCAAAAAAGATGAGTAAACTTAGGGTATTCTTCTTATGCTAGTAATAAGAGCAACTAAATTCGTTACAAAAAGTAAGATTATTTTTTTTCAACTATTTGTCAGGAAATCATATTACCTTAAAGTACACTTAAGGCTTTAGCAGAAAATTTTGAAATTCAGTCAAAATGCACTCAGAAATCACATACCCGTTTGTGTAGTAGGCAGTGAACCACACCTATCTGTGTAAAGCTTAATGATACTATGTAGTTGTTCAGACTTCTATAAGCGGAGTAGGGTTCGAACTCGCAACGTACAGGCTGAAAATTAAATGCCTTAACCGATGAGCTGCAGTTTCACAACAGAAAATATACTATACTTTAGCACAGAACTAACCAGTGACGTTATATACATATAATGTCTCTAAATTCGGTAGAACTAGTGCAAAGGTAGGTGTATGAATGCTATGAAGCACCAAATTCATGTTTTCAATAGGGTTTTCGTGGGAAATGAGGATGTCATTGACCTCCAAAACCAATCTTCGATTATGACACCTAAGTTTTTTTGCATGGTCATGTTTATGTCTGATGTTCTCAAATGATCTATATATAAATATTAATGTATTAAAAGTAGATTTCACATTTTTACTGTTTGATGATAGCAGCTACTGTTGAAGCACAATTTTTCTTCAAATCGTCGATTCTTTCCAGAACTGAATATATTTTCGACGATTACATCGGATACTGATATATCGGGATGAACATTTACCAACAGCGGGATTCAGGATGCGCGTTTTGTCATCTTTATAATGATAGTTTTATATTTAGCTTATTCTGAACCATGTTTTTGTTTACAGTACAGAACTCAGCATGTGGCATTACAGAATCTACTCCTTATACACCTAGTAGCGCATGGCTTCTAAACCGCGTTATTTTCAGAACTGCATAAATGCTTAGAAGTTATTGCAGAGAATTCTGTTATGAATAAATGTTTTTCAAATTATTCAAGGACATTCGGAAAAAGTAATGAATCCTTTGTCAATTTGGAACTATCTAAATCAAAGGAGTTGACACATTCTTTTTGTATGTCACGAAGACGTTTGGATTATTATTTTTTTCCCTTGGGTACATAGTGGAACATAGGGCTTCAGCAGCACGTCTCCATTGCACCCCCTTCTCTGCAATCTTTCGGTCCTCGCACCACAACTTCCAATAAGCTTTCATTTCTTCCTCACATGATCTCCTACATGTCACCCTCAGCTGGGAGACCCAGCTCGTCGTCTACCCTTTGGATCCCACTCGAATGCCTGTCGCGTGATGTCCCCAGTCAGCCTTCTCAGTGTATGCCCAATCCAATCCATCTCATCTCCACTTTCTGCTTCTGCATATTTGTTGAGTGATAGGTTCTTGGTTGGTTCGTTTCAGGCCAGCCAACCAGCCAGCCAGAGTTCCTTGCTGCTTATTCTTCCTCGCCTTCACATCTCATCTTCAGTATCGAGTGATTGTAGGTGGCAGCTGTTGATGAATATCTGCAGTTTATTGCAAGTGCTTTTCGTAACACACCAAGTCTCTCAACCATCATCACATGGAAGCACTGACTTATTTGACTGACATTGATGTTGAAAATGCGGATGTTGTTGACGCTTTATGCTGAGTACAGTGCAGTAGTAGATCTCCACACTGATTATTTCAGATGAATAATAGCCTGTCTTGCTGTCTTTCCAATCCTGGTTTTGACATCGTCATGTGTGCCTGTGCCACCCACCACCTGTAGTTGAAACGATGCTGGCCTGCATAGGTAGGTGAAAGAGACTACTTGCTTAAGATTTCTGCCGTTCATGGTGATTGGTGCTTGTTGTTGTTGTTGATGCTGTTGTTGGTTCGGTATCTTCATCACCTTCGTGTTTTCCGCGTTGACTTGAGGGAAGTGGTGTTTTGGCTACCTGACCTGTGATGTGAACCTGTTAGTTTTCACCTGTAGATTTTCGAGTTTGTGCCACGAGACATTAGACATAAATCATTATCGGAGAAATCGAAATCTTCTGGGATCTTTTTATCGGTCCATCCATCCTACGCCCATCTTCTTGCTCCTTATGGTTTGCTGCATGACGAGTTCTATCTACAACAGTGATGTCTCAGAGTTACTCACTTGCACCATCTTAGGTAGGTGGCTAAATTGATTGATATTTTCTAAGAAGAATTCATCAGATTTAAGAAAGCAGATAATGCATACTGTATTTTCGAATTGCATAATAATAGAGAATATTTAATCAAACAATATATTCTCAAAATATCCACAGTGTTCTTTGTATACCTAAGACTGGGTTATAAAATAAAATGACTTCTCAGGTTTCCATAGCAAGTGCTAAATAATGAAAAAAAGGTGAAAGCTGAAGAGCTGTGGAATCAAACCATGAAACTACCTTATCACCTTAAATCTAATTTTTACTGAAGGTTCCCTCCAGTCTTTATCAGTCTGCACATACAACTCTCATACACTAAGTAATTTTCATTCAAGTGAAACTGTCTAATTATGGGTTCATTGCGACTTGCATAGATATGACAACGGCAATTAATTTCTTACAAATGTATGATCATTATTCATTGAAAAGTAATTTAAATAATCTTCCCCACTTAGTTTAATTAGAGATAAGCATACATTTACAAGTAGAATAAAAAGAATTTGAAGCTATGGGTTCTGAGGTAACCAGTTCAGTCATTTTTTATTCTCCAAGATGCAAGATAATAAAGTACAATTAAAGTTTATTACATTCATAAATTTATGCATTGCTGGCTTTCTCAAAATGTGTAATTAGTGTGTGTCTACGTGAATACGTTATGTGTGTTATGTGAAATTTACAAGTGTTAAGCAGTATATTCTTTATCTTAGTTCCATGTGGATAAAGAAAGCAACAAAAACAACGCATTCCAAAAGGCTTTTATGCACATTTTATTCATTTATTTCAGATAATAAAATCATCCCAATTTCACTACATGAAGTACTTGTAGTGGGAAGTTTTCTCAAGTGTTTAATTTTCGTAATTTTCCCAATAAAGATGTTTATAATATGATTTTAGACAAAGACAAAAGAGTGTGGGAAAATAATATAAAGGAAAATACTAATAATCAGTATTTTAATAAAACTTACAGTAAAATAATATTCATCATGGATTGATATCAGTTTTTGAGCGTTCATAATGAGACCTGAAGATCCTGAGTCCGATCTTTGATGCGTACTACTGAGGATTCTCATACTAGGACAAAACATCTGTTCAGTGCCTTCGGGTCTTCAATGATTCTCCAAGTGATGTCAGCTCGTGAGAAATACTACCTTAAAGCGATCCACATAAACCTAAAACTAAAAAACTACAGTAATTAGAGAACTGTACTGATGCCTAAGTGTCTTCATATTGGCCATTCAAACGCTGTATAAATGAGATCATACAGACAGTACTTTGAGAAAGGTCAAGAACTTATACTACTAAAATGAGCTGGTACTACGAAATTAAATTAGGTCAATTTTGATGAAGAGCTGCTTGCTTCAACATAGGAATGGTCATTTTTTTTAAATAAGAAGCTGAAACCGTGTAATTATGCCTGTGTTCCTTGTACTTACATGTATGCTTTTTAGGGGATCTTCATATCACTTCATACTTATCCAAGAATCATTACAAATATTAGTGATCACATACGCTTTAATGTACTGCATTCATCATCATCATCATCGTATGTTTTCAGGTCGTTGAACCTTAAACTGTATTCCACTAAAACGATTACCTGGCTATGTACACCATGATCGGAGCCAGTTTCTGAGATCATTTGCTTCTTTCATATTGTTCTGAAGATAGCCATTTGATTTAATCAAACAATTATTTCATAAGTTTTCAGATTACTGATAGTTTTTTTGTCTAATGATAATATCTCATTATGCAAACTAGTCAGTCAATATATCTAAGTTGAACGATAGACCACTATTGTTATCACCAGTGATAAACAAATTGAACTTTGAAATATTTCCAGTGGATCTTAACCGTATTTTCAGTCCATGAGGTGATTAAAATTTAGCTGTGTTTAGTTGGTATTATTACTTATATTACACCATCGTTGATTAGACCGAATTGACCAGTCTCTGTTGGCTCTGTTGGGCTCCTATGCAGATGCCTCGATATTGCCTGTGTTTTAATTATGTAAAGTAATGATTATCCAATCAACGATGGTGTAGTACAAACAATAACACTAAAACTATACCCGTTGCACAAGAAGTGACTATCGTGGCTTGGTGGTGTAGTGGGTAACGCTCTGGCGTTTGAAGCGACCACTTTCGAGTCCGAATCCTGGTAGGAACAACATTACTACTTGCGAGTCAGGTACATCCAGCTGACTGGTGAGTCCCAAATCAGAGGAAATGCACATCCTGGATTCCACTGCTAGCCACTACCCATCATTGCTATGTGTTTGGTTGATGTCTTGAAAAAAATGGTTATTATCACCCCTAACTGAATTCAAAACAGCTTACTTTCGATAGCTTCAACGTTAATTCATTGTTCATCACTAATAGCAACATCTTGAAACTTTTAATCAAACTTAGGAATGACAATCAACAAACTTTCCGTAGAGTAATGTGTACTTTTAGTATTTAATGAATATTTTGTATATCTGCTTTTGATTATCATTACAAACTTTTTTAAATAATCATACAACTACATAAAATTTCATGATATTTATTTGTAGGACTTCGATGCTCTGGTTGTGTTGAAGAACCAACATTTGAAAGTGCTATCAGCAGTTTTTGCATGGCTGATGTTGGTAAGTTGATTTGCACTAACTTACTACATAATTTATTTATAATTCAAAATTATATTTACTTAAATTTTTGCAATCAGTGTTGTAATTATTTAAAAGATACAAATTGTAAGTGATTGCTTACTATACAGAGTGAATGCTGAAGTATCTAAACCTCGTGAGTTTATTTTACTCCATTCAGATGTACTTTGAATACTTTAAAGCTACTATCAGTTTACTTTTATGATGTGAAATACTGGATTTAAAAATACTTTGATCTCAACGGAAGTCGAACAATCCGACCCAATATAGTAACAGGAAATTAAAATTATCAATAAACAACAGCTGAAACCCATTATAAAAGTGGTGTGACACTTGTACCCCAGGGGATTAGTAGATAACGCTTTGACGTTTGAAGCGATAGGTGTTTGGCTCGAATATCTGTGGGAACAATACCACTCATTAAGGTGCAAGTGCATCCGGCTGACAAGTCTCAAATGGGAATAAGCGCGCATCCTGGATTCCATTGCCTGCCACCAAACAGATTACAATACTTTGATCTCAATTTCTAGTGTTTTGAGTAGAAACTAATTGTTTGTCAAGAATATTCTTGAGATGGTGGAAAAGATTTAGTTTTATTTGAGGATGATATTTGCTTATTGTCCGAATTTCGAGGTTTATTATTGAGCATTTTATTACCAAGCTAGGCATCTTCAATATTTAGTTCATAATGCAATGAAGTGTTTTCATGCCGAATGAGAGTGTTCGTACGATACTTATTGAACTTGAGTGTTATTAACTTGTGAAAAGGAATTGTTTTTTACTCTTCATCGGAGCTTGACCTTTAAGTTATTGGAACCGTTTGACACATGCTGTTGGATTAATGTTAGACGATTGATTTGCTTGACTGACCCCATTCTAGTAGTTTGTATGTTGGATTAACATCCTCGTGTTTAATGATCGTCTTTTGTTTGAATTTTCATGCGTATAAGAATTCTCTTGAAGTTTTAAGCCTGCGTGTTGTAGTCTTTTCAAATTTTCCCGGTTGAAGTTGCGGTTGTGCTCACATACACACATCAGTATTAGTGAAGATGTATCATTCTGTTTCACCACCAGTTATTGCTCATAAATTCTGCGACTGAATTGATCTACATGAAGATGTCAACATCAAAAATGAATTCACTTGTACACATGATGCAGTTTACTTAGAAATTAGAGGGTTTTGAAAGAGAAGTGTTTATGTTGATTTACAGAATATACAAGACGTAAGATGAGTACTTAAAAAGGCTTTTCCACAAAAAAGCAACACATTCGAAATGATACTTAGACTTCAGGTTATTTCATCTCATGTTTATTCCGTGAAACAAAAAGTATGCGACAGGAAATAAAACATAGAAGAAACCCTACTTATCAATAGTTATCCGCATTAAGTGATCCAGAAATGTATAAGAGATTGTAAGAATAAGATTAGTAAGACCTAGAATTTATATACGCAGAAAACATTAAAAAGTGAAGATTCAAACCTTCATGGTGTTAACATTGTCATGAAAGTAAGTCAGAGTTTACGCGAGACTCACAAGGAAGCAGGAATTAAGCTGGTATTTAAACCTGCAACCTCACTACGAAACAAGCTTTGTATGCTGTAGGCTTCCATGAAGCCGATAAACTAAAATCCTTTAGTTTATCAAATTGTTTACGACGACTGTAAGACCAAGTAAATAAGTCAAAATAATCAACCATGGTCTTTAAGAACAGCAGAGTACGAAGAATTGAGCAGATCGAGAATAGTAAACCCTGGTAAGTTAAGAAATTTAGAGAAAAATTCAGCTAACACTGTGCATAGATTCACAAAATTATTATTATTTCTCCGTTGGGTTACCAGTGGAACATGGGGCTTCAGTAGCACGTCTCCATTCCACTCTCTTCTCTGCAGTCTTTTTGACCTGGCACCAAGACTCCCCACAAGCTCTCATTTCTTCCTCACATGATCTCCTACATGTCACCCTCGTCTTGGACGCTCAACTCGCCGTTTTCCACCTGCGTTGCACTCGAGGACCAGGCCTGGCACGTGATGACCCCAATCGGTCTTCTCAGTGCATGCCCAATCCAATCCATCTCATCTCTACTTTCTGCTTCTGCATATTTGTTGAGCAATAGCTTCTTGGTTCGTTCGTTTCAGGCCAGCCAACCAGCCAGCCAGAGTTCCTTGCTGCTTATTCTTCCTCACCTTCACATCTCATCTTCAGTATCGAGTGATTGTAGGTGGCAGCTGTTGATGAATATCTGCAGTTTGTTGCAAGTGCTTTTCGTAACGCACCAAGTCTCTCAACCATCATCACATGGAAGCACTGACTTATTTGACTGACATTGATGTTGAAAATGCGGATGTTGTTGACGCTTTATGCTGAGTACAGTGCAGTAGTAGATCTCCACACTGATTATTTCAGATGAATAATAGCCTGTCTTGCTGTCTTTCCAATCCTGGTTTTGACATCGTCATGTGTGCCTGTGCCACCCACCACCTGTAGTTGAAACGATGCTGGCCTGCATAGGTAGGTGAAAGAGACTACTTGCTTAAGATTTCTGCCGTTCGTGGTGATTGGTGCTTGTTGTTGTTGATGCTGTTGTTGGTTCGGTATCTTCATCACCTTCGTGTTTTCCGCGTTGACTTGAGGGAAGTGGTGTTTTGGCTACCTGACCTGTGATGTGAACCTGTTAGTTTTCACCTGTAGATTTTCGAGTTTGTGCCACGAGACATTAGACATAAATCATTATCAGAGAAATCGAAATCTTTTGGGGTCCTATCATCGATTCAGGGTATGCCTGGATTCACAAAATTGGATGGGACAAAGTGGGAACCCTGAAAATGAACTAATCAGAGTGGATGGAAAGATTGTTGGCGGAAGTTTTTCTGGTCAAGTCAACGTCAAACATTTCTATACAGGTTTACATTTCAACTCACTAATATCCTAAATGGAGACTACTGAATCATGCCAAACTAGAGTCAAATAGCGATGGATGGTTTTCAATTTTTATCCATGATAAATTTTACCGGGCGTAAATGCCGCATGCGTAAGGAGAAACATTCGAAGTCAATTTTCAGTGGTATCAACATCATCATCATTATCAACATAGGACCAGGCATTACTGCGTAACGGTCCCACTTGCCACACCTCACATCAGCACATCAAGTAAAAAGGTAGTGAGGCGAAGTATGAAGATAAGTGAATGCAGTCAAAAGAAATATAAAGTACTAGAAGAAAGGAAAGAGGAGTGACAAAATGGTGAGATTCGGTATAGCGTTGTTAAGATGAGGATAATGTGTGTATACATCTGCACCACTGACTTCGGTGGTATCAACAAAGACTCTTATGGCTTTATTCTCCTCTCTCTCTCTCTCTAAACGTATAATGCTATTGATGTTCTTATTTTCATTAGACACTACATGCGAAATTAAGTTTCTTCAATTCACTATTTTTAACCAAAGAACTGTAATAATCATAACTTGTTAATTTTCAAAATGATGTAAAGGTTTTGTTGCAAAACGACTTATTCAGAAATTAAATAAAGAATGAAATGAAGCTTTTATTTTTTTGATAGTGGAGATGGTACACTAGTTATTATAAAAAATTTAATTGTAACACCTCCATTAAATAGTATAGTTTACAAAGAAGGATCCAAAACTCGAAGGTCCAGTTGCGTCCAAAATATTCAGTATGTCATCCGATCTGAGTTAATTGTTCAGAAACCGTTTTTAAATCAGACTTTGCCCTTCCTGACACTTATCAACTGCATGAATCTGAATATATAGAGGAATTGGTACATCATAAGAGATCTAAAATCTTACCGTACATTCATAAGTATTAAATGAATGGAAACGCTCATCACAGATTCGACTACCAGCTATTATCTATTACTATCCTAATGGTTCACTTTACGCTGTATATCAAACAAACAAATCTGATATGGGTCGTAGCATTTTTGAGAAGTGTTAAGTAGATTCTTTCACCGAACTTCGATAGACAATTACAATAAAACTTTAGTTTGTCATTGAGAATAGCCTAACCATATCTTAGTTGATGGGTAGTTTCTAAAAGTACTAAGTAGTCATATAATGTAAGCAAATTAAATTTTGGAGACACCTATCACGGTTATTAGGAAGTCTAAGTAAGTAGGAGATTGAGACTAAATGTCTGTCCTGGATTCTGTCAGCTGAAATAATTGAAGCTTTTCTTAATTTATCCTATGAATAGCCAATAAAAGTTACGTCCAACTACCATGTTGATTAGAAATAATTGAATACATACTTTACAAAGATGAAAGCTGACATCCCAATCCTGACAGGAGATTCTGCTGATTTATTATTATTTTGACAGTTATAAAGTTAATAATCTCCATCTTGAATCTAAACTACCCTGTATCCAAACAAAAAGTGAGTTTTAGTGTCATTGCTTGTAATTTTCTGTCGCACAAAGAGTTTCCGTCGTGACTCAGTGACCTAACGAATTACATCGCGTTTGAAGCGCTGGGTGCTTCATTCAAATTTTATTAGGAGACAGGTACATACAGCTGATGAGTCTCAAATAGGATGAAACTTGCATCCTTGGTTCCACTTACACCTATTAAAAATCACTAAAACACGATTTATTTTATATTTGATGACTGTAAAATAGCATTTATACTTGACATAAACCTCAGCTACCATTGTTGATTGTTACAGTGTAAATCCATTTGTGACCTTAGTTTTACTTCCACTTAACTAGTTACCTGGTTGCAAAGAAGAGCACTTTGAGGTAATGATACGTAGAAAACAATGCCAGCCAAATTAGACTGATAGGTGTAAATGTGTTCAATGGGTAGATGTTAGAATGCTCTTCATTTGTGTGACTGATTACAACTGGTAACATGATTATCTTAAAATCATCATGTTTTATATAGAGTAGCGGTTTAAGGTTTCAAAAATCATTTCTTGAAGTCATTATAGGATGTCATAATCTTTAGAATTGAGCAAACGGAAGGTGAGCATAAGTAATCATCGATAACACTAGTTAATACTGATGCGTAATCGTGAACTGATAGAAGCTAGAGTATATGAACGATTAAGTTCCAGCCTAGTAACTGAGTGTTGAAGTTCATATGGCACAATATCAAGGTCATGCAGTCGATCTGATATACAATGATGAGTGCATACTACTGAGTAATCGTAAACTAAGAAGATTCTACTTATCGCTGTTTTGTTTTCCCTTATTCTTTAAAATAGAAACTTTATTCAAATCTACTTGATCATTATAAACTAGTTAAATGATCAATATATGTGATATGTTTCACTATGGTGTATTTTTAGTGTTACGAGCACAAATAATATATATTAACAAAGACAATACGAGCAACAGTAGATCTGTTCAACTATATTTGGACAGACAAGCACGAACTCTTAAACTACCACGTGAACGAATTAATTATGGTCACTTGAAGATAACAGTGGACTGTGAATGTGGTTTATTAGATGAAACAATGAATTCATTACAAAATAGATTGATAAAATGGTTGATAATGGGTAAAATATCACCAAATCGAGGCACTTTACATGTAAGTTACTATCATTACTAAAATGTCTTGCTATTCTGATAATTTATCATTACATTCAATTTTGATCATCAGAAAAGATAAGACATGGTTTCAGCGAAGAAAAATTTTCTTCGCTGAAACCATGTCTTATCTTTTCTGATGATCAAATGGGTGTATTCGGTTTTTTAAAGAGTTACATTCAATTTGTTGCATAATGTTAATATTTTTAGTTCTGTATAAATAATGCACAGAACAATGAGTAAACATTGATATATTGCATGGTCAATTTCATATTGCTGAGTAGTACTTGTTAGATAAGGCATATAATTGTAAACCGTAGTGGATATGTTTACAATGTATGTAACTCTAGGTGGTAAGAACTAAGACTTAGGATGCTACAAACAATATATACAGTGACATTTTTGAACGTGCAATAAGTTTCATTTACCTTTTGTGATGATCTGTAAAAGACAAAGAACTGAATTTGGGTGTTATTTATGACCAATGACATCCCATGTGACACATTCATCATTATGTTTTCAAATAGAAAACACTGAGGTATATTACACACTGGGAATCATTAATATAGAAGTAGCACATTCACATCTTGAACTATGTTGCATACAATAATGTATTACCGAATTACTTATTGAAAATGTAACGAAAGATAGACATCCTTTCAAATCAGTCTCTTTTCAATGATCTAATCTTTTTCGCCTAATTTAAATAAGAGTATTAGAATTCTTATTGCAGAATAATATACCATTTTGAAATGTTAATCATTGTGACATGTTATGTGAATGGACCAATCATTGGACTATTCAGTGTTCTTGAACCCTTCCACATTATAAAACTTCTAAATGAACATTTTATCTAACACTGTAGGTTGATACATTTACTTTCAGTCAATCTTTAATTACATTGAAATTATCATCATCTCCTCATTATTCTGTGTAAACTTATCATTTAAACTAATGTCTTATAATCATATCTTTTTGTATATACTAGTTTTCATGAAAAGTTTGTTCATTCAAATCACTTATACTAAATAGTTAAACTGGCATACAGAAAATGAAACTATCTATTGGCGAAAATGTTATAATAAGATAAAGTGTTATGACTGGTAGTATGACCTAACAGTCTACGAGCGATACAAACCTAGTGGCTAGACTAATCGAGGTATTTTATAAAATTCTGCAAAATTACAGTTCACTTAAAGTATAATTAAATTTTGAGGGAGTTGTGGAGATTTGGAATTATTATTTCAAGTTGTTATTCATCGTAGACTGATATCAGTTGGAGGAACAAAGGAAACCTGGGAGCACTGGACAGCTGTCTCGTCCTAGTATGGGACTCCTCAGCAGTGCGCACCCACGACCCCACCAGCAGGGATCGAACCCGCGACCTTCAGGTTCCGCGGCCAGCGCGTTACCATTGAGCCACTGGGTCAGAATCCATGCTAGGACGAAACAGCTGTCCAGTGCTCCCAGGTTTCCTTTGTTCCTCCAACTGATGTCAGTCTACGATGAATAACAACTTGAAATAATAATTCCAAATCTTCACAACTCCTTCAAAATTTAATTGAACTGGTGCTCATTGGTGACTAGTTTCGAGAAGTATTCCCGAAGTTCCAATGACAAGTCGTGACCGGTGGAGTCAAAGCCTGATGGCCATGAGAACAAATACTCAGCGATGACATTGGGTGGCGGTTGCGCTATATATCGTGAGCTAACAGAAGTTGGAAATATGGAGCATTGAATTCTGACCCAGTGGCTCAATGGTAACGCGCTGGCCGCGGAACCTGAAGGTCGCGGGTTCGATCCCTGCTGGTGGGGTCGTGGGTGCGCACTGCTGAGGAGTCCCCATACTAGAACGAAACAGCTGTCCAGTGCTCCCAGATTTCCTTTGTTCCTCCAACTGATGTCAGTCTTCGATGAATAACAACTTGAAATAAAGTATAATTATAAAAAAGCTTTGAAAGCTCAAATTAACAACATTTAAATGTGCCTTACATCATGTCATGTACTAAGGAGTTAAAAGAATAGTAATAAAGTGTTTGAATATTACAAAGAATATCTCAGCTGATTAAATATGGCGTTTTTTAATGTGTTAGAATTTATGATTTCACTTCTTAATTCATATCGTAGTCACTTTTCATAAAGAAATCGCATAGAAGAATTTGTAGCTCAAGGTGATATTTTAGATCATTTGGTACCTTGTGAACCACATTCTTTAAAAGCCAGCCTCTTATCCTTCGAGTATAAACTGTCCAAGAAATAAGCATCATATAAAAGTGAATCTGCAGCTAGATTTGCTCGAAATACTTAAATTAACTGGTCATTACTAGTTATGATTCTTTTCATAGGTGAATCCTTTGTGTATTTAGTCGGCAAAGAGTGGACTACTCACTTCCTTCACGGTCGTTTAGAAAGTTATTGCTGTTTCATGAGGAGACTTCTGCTGTTTTGATATATGCATATATGTACTGATCACTCTCATTTATGAATACTACATTTACACACTAATGGTTCCTGCAATCATAATCACAACCATCTCAACATATAGTCTAACCGAGTATAAACACTATTCTAAGGTTTTAAAGACAGTCCGATATGTTCGCCCTGAGTGTGATCTAAAAAACCATTTCTTTACAGTCTTCTAATAAAAGGTGTATCTTTACGATTTTACCACCACAAATAACCAACTAACAGATCATTTTAATAGAAATCATAGTAGAGCTACCAAATACTCGATAGATCTTATATAGTAAAGATACAAAATAAATACTATCGAAACAGAATCACTGATAAATCGTGAATATTGTTTCCCTAAACAAATAAGAAATGATTTTCAATAAAATTTGTAGAAGTGTTTAATAAGCAACGTCTACGTGGTACTGTAGCTTATACAAATATTTATGTGAATAATGATTGTCATGACCTTTACTAGGATCATGTGGTAACCTTATTATGAAAACATTATGATTGGTCAACCAACGACAGTATAATACATGCAATAACACTAAAACTATACCCGTTGCACAAGAAGTGACTATCGTGGCTTGGTGGTGTAGTGGGTAACGCTCTGACGTTTGAAGCGATCACTTCCGAGTCCGAATCCTTGTGAGAAAAACATCATTCACTGAAAGTCAGGTACATCCAGCTGACTGGTGAGTCCCAAATCAGAGGGTATGCACATCCTGGATCCCACTGCTAGCCGCTATCCATCATTACTATAATTAAAACACAGGCAATATCAAGGCATCCTCACAGGAGCCCGTATGCACATTAGAGACTGGTCAATTCGGTCCAATCAACGACGGTATAATACAAGCAATAACATTATGATTAGTCACTGAAATCTTGAGGTTGATCCACCCTCTTAAGACATCAAAGAGAAAGAAAGTGAAGGACAAGCGTTAAAATTTATGTCTGTTTATAATACCCACAGTTTATCAATCTACCACTAAAGAATAAACATTCATAGCCAATCCACTTTACTGTTCATTTAACTGGTTTATGAAAAACTGACTGATATGAAGGAAGAATTCATAAGGAATCAACATCAAACGAAAAAGATTTCTATCTTATTTTCAAACTCATTAGTAATGCTGACCTTAGATCTCATTCAGAACTAAACTTAGAATGTTCAGATGCCTCAGCAGAAAGTTATGGTACAGTGATCTAGCTGAAATAGGAAAACCCAGTCTATCTAAATCCTGCATATCATTGTATTGTACGAATACAAGTGAAGAGCTTTGGTATCCATATGTGTTTACTTTTAACTTAATTGTTGGCAATTACTCTTATTTCAGGGTGTTTAAAATAAATCTCAACAATAATGAAGAGAATGAATCGTTCAGCAGTATATAATTGTGGAATAAATATTGAAACTTTATTTTATTCAACGTTTTATCAACTGGATTTTATATAATACAGTTTATGACAATATGTAATACTCATATACTTTTGTTTCGTGAAGACGGCAGTGATTTCACGAGGTTTTTTTTAGCATGAAACCAGTTCGGTTTTTATTGAAATCTAAATAATCTCAAATCTTCAATTCCACAAAGGAATACTGATTTTACCTCTTCTATGATTCACCATCTGTTTTACAAAACTAATTTCTCGTCATAGTGATGTAAATTTCTGTAGATAATGGAAGATATGATTTCGGTGAATTCAAGTCACTTAAACAATTTCTCTTCAATTTAACCTTTAGTCTGTTCAGAAGAACTTTCACCGCCCTGTATACATGATCTGATCATACCACTTTACTAAGTAATCAAATGAAAATTCACTTATATACCTATGGTTGGTTGAATTAGCGTTTGGAATGTATTAACTGTTCAGGGTTATGAATCTGTTGCTACTGAAAACCAAATACGGCAGTTATATGGTTTTTTATATGATAATTGTATGGTTAAGATATATCACATATTCAAATTATAAGGTGATATAATATAGTATTCACTTAGATATTGATAATCTGATCAAAATCCCTTGGGTAACTAAAGTTCAGCCTAAACAATTCCATAGCTATTGAATTCTTCGTTAGTAGGCTTAATATTAGCTAATTTTATTATGACACCGTTAACTTAGACTTAGTGTGTTTTAGTTGGATAGAGGTAGTCGGCAGGAAACCCTGGACTTAGGTTTCATGCTTGTTGGCACTCGTCAGCAACCTCGACGAAACTGATTTCCCGCCTGGGGTTCGAACCCGCGTCACCCAGTGTGGTAGTCAATGTCTTTACCATTGAGCTATTCGGGTCACAATTAATTTCCTATTGGACTGGGTTATATGTACTTATTGGTCACGGAAAAGAAATCAATCTCATGTTGCCTAGTCTTGAGTGCAGACCTAATCCTATCGGTCAGACTTAGTGTTCTTTTGGTGTTAACCTCGTCTGCATTATAGAAACTTATAAAACAGATATTTCCTTGTAACCTGGAGAAACTGGTTTTAGTAAATAACTAATTTGTTTTGAAATGGTTCCTGAAGACATATTTATAGTTGTAAGTATAACAATAAAACTTTCTGAACCCATTGTCATATTTTTGTGCATCATAGGTTGAGTATTTATCACGTATCAGTCGTTCTAATTTGGGACTTAAGCGTGCTCTTAAAGCTATGAGACGCCCAGCTTCACAATTATGCAAACTACCAATCTCAGACAAATTCCCATCAACTAATATGAAACATAATCTGCCAAATTCACTTCAACATATTAAATCAACACCAACTAGACGATCTTATCCAAATAATAAAGAACGTTATTCAACTCAATCAAGCAATTATTTCTACTCATCACCATCTACATTGTTGAACAAAACGCATATCAATCCAACAGTTCGTACATTTCCAACTTCTATATCATCTCATTCTAATTCACGTGAAAAACATGCAACACGTCGTTTATTAGTACGTCGTAGCCAAGGTACACTGAATAAACATACAGAAAATAAATATGTAACAAGTACTAACCAGAATAATAATGATCTTTATCCAGTCAGATCAGCTTTAATTAAATACTCCAAAGATTCAGTGCACTTTAAACCATTTATGCAGATATCAAAACCAGAAGAAAAATTACCACTTGAAAGTGAAAATGATTTATTCTCACCACAAACAATATCACCATGGTTACGATGATGCTACATAAATTCATCTACATAAACATATACACACATACAAAGTTATATAAATAATCATGATTTTCATAAGCTTGTTTATTGTTCTTCTCCAATGGAAATATTCTTTAGTATTAAACGGTCATTATCAAGTATAACAGTATGGGAAAAGGAACTTATTTATATTTCTATTGGATTTTGAAAGGAATATCCTATCTATATACTCATACATTTAAAAATTATATGTAATTGAACATCATATAAATGTTTCAATTGCCAGTATGCTTTCCATCGTCTCTCATTAACAGTGGTAAACACATTCTATTCAAAAGCAAATTTTCAAATAAACGATGTAATTTGATTTTATATTCTCATCATGTCTTTTATTCTGAAATAAGCCTTTAACTTGTTTTTCATATAATAGTACATTCAGGCATGAAGTTTAAATTATCTGCTTAATCGACTGAATGACTGCGAAGAGATACAGTAGAAATAAATCCCATATTGTCTATAAGTTCTGCTTTTCGTGGAAGGAGAGAAATTTAAAGGGTATCTCGTGAGAGGAAATGGTTTACCATTTCTAGTTAACGGATTTAACATTCAGGCACATTTTACTACACAACGAACGCCTGCATTCTTTACTATATACATCATTTTGAAGATGAAAAAACCTGCAAGATTTTGTGGAAACGTTTAAGCAGGTTCGTTTTAAGAGTGAGTGAGAAGAGAGGCATACGCTGGCTGGATCGATGAAGAGAGCCTAGAAGATTTCCATTTCTCCGATAATGATTTATGTCTAATGTCTTGTGGAACAAACTCGAAAATCTACAGGTGAAAACTAACAGGTTCACATCACAGGTCAGGTAGCGAAGACACCACTTCCCTCAAGTCAACGCGGAAAACACGAAGGTGATGAAGATACCGAACCAACAACAGCATCAACAACAACAACAAGCACCAATCACCATGAATGGGAGAAATCTTAAGGAAGTGGTCTCTTTCACCTACCTATGCAGGCCAGCATCGTTTCAACTACAGGTGGTGGGTGGCACAGGCACACATGACGATGTCAAAACCAGGATTGGAAAGACAGCAAGACAGGCTATTATTCATCTGAAATAATCAGTGTGGAGATCTACTACTGCACTGTACTCAGCATAAAGCGTCAACAACATCCGCATTTTCAACATCAATGTCAGTCAAATAAGTCAGTGCTTCCATGTGATGATGGTTGAGAGACTTGGTGCGTTACGAAAAGCACTTGCAACAAACTGCAGATATTCATCAACAGCTGCCACCTACAATCACTCAATACTGAAGATGAGATGTGAAGGCGAGGAAGAATAAGCAGCAAGGAACTCTGGCTGGCTGGTTGGCTGGCCTGAAACGAACGAACCAAGAAGCTATTGCTCAACAAATATGCAGAAGCAGAAAGTGGAGATGAGATGGATTGGATTGGGCATGCACTGAGAAGACCGATTGGGGTCATCACGTGCCAGGCCTGGTCCTCGAGTGCAACGCAGGTGGAAAACGGCGAGTTGAGCGTCCAAGACGAGGGTGACATGTAGGAGATCATGTGAGGAAGAAATGAGAGCTTCTGGGGAGTCATGGAGTTAGGTTCAAATGTTTGCAGAGAAGAGAGTGGAATGGAGACGTGCTACTGAAGCCCTATGTTCAGCTAGGAACCGAAGGGAAAAATATTAATAATATGTTTGAAGCTGTTCACTCTCTTAATTTTAAGGTGGACAGTCACTCACTGTAACACTAGTTTTTTTCATTTGTATCTTAAATTTGTAGATTAGAGTTCATTTCGACAGTCACTCTATAAAAAATTACTCTGAAATAATCATATAGACATAAACTTCCACTGAATTTAAACTTGACTTATACCCATACACTTCTTTTAATTTCATGTTAGCAGTCACTGTTCCACTGGGGTTGGAATAAATTGCCTTAAAAGCAAATTTGGTTGACTGATTGTATAGGGAAATGATCTTAACGTAACTGAATCAAAGAATGTGTTCCACAAATGTGTTCCTCAAAGTGAGTGGGAGAGAGAAACTCAGTGAACAACTTTGTGCATTTCTGCGCAGTTGGCAGTGAGCCACATCCATCGTTTGAGGTCTAAGGATAATCCGCAAACCTCAGTAACTAGAGTAGTGTTTAAACCTGTAACCCACAGGCTGAGACTCAACTGCCTAACCAATGAGCCACGCCTTCTCTCAAACTAAAAGTTAAGAAATCCAGTATAACAGATAATCTGCCTACCTTTATAACCATCATACTTGTGAATATGAAATTTGTCTGGTAATCATTAATAAGCCAACGGCCATATGTTCGCTAACAGAAAAATTAAGATCGACCATAGAATAAAAATTCGGAAACATTTACCCCAAAGAAATTATATATTTGATTCAGTTAATTTGTGTTACACCATAAAGCCAATGATTCAGTGATCAAATTAATTTTTATTGTGTTAATTTTCAACAGGTGTACAACTTTGTTCACATTTGTAATTAGTGTATAAATCTACTCACAAGGAATATTTATACGATTTACAGAACTGTAACTGGTGGTAGGTACATTATAATTAAGAAATAAATAAGAAAATGAAAGCAACGTATGATATATTTAAATACCTAACGAATTAGACAATGAATTTTGGTTGCTAAAAAGCACATAATAAGATGGTTAAGCAAAGTTCAGATAAGAAAATAATACTGAATTACTAGGTGATTTCATATGATCATAAAAACGAAATAGTAAATGTTGGAAACTCAATAAGGTAGGGAATGAAAATGCTGCATCCAAACGATTTCACTCTTGATTCCTTCTTCTAAACTGCTAAAATTTCCTTCCCTCAATTGGATCAAAACAATTGTTTCTCAACCGTTAGTCCATTATGAGTATTTTTATTATAATTATTTATCCCTTGGGTTCCGAGTGGAACATAGGGCTTCAGTAGCACGTCTCCATTCCACTCTCTTCTCTGCAAACATTTGAACCTAACTCCATGACTCCCCAGAAGCTCTCATTTCTTCCTCACATGATCTCCTACATGTCACCCTCGTCTTGGACGCTCAACTCGCCGTTTTCCACCTGCGTTGCACTCGAGGACCAGGCCTGGCACGTGATGACCCCAATCGGTCTTCTCAGTGCATGCCCAATCCAATCCATCTCATCTCCACTTTCTGCTTCTGCATATTTGTTGAGCAATAGCTTCTTGGTTCGTTCGTTTCAGGCCAGCCAACCAGCCAGCCAGAGTTCCTTGCTGCTTATTCTTCCTCGCCTTCACATCTCATCTTCAGTATCGAGTGATTGTAGGTGGCAGCTGTTGATGAATATCTGCAGTTTGTTGCAAGTGCTTTTCGTAACGCACCAAGTCTCTCAACCATCATCACATGGAAGCACTGACTTATTTGACTGACATTGATGTTGAAAATGCGGATATTGTTGACGCTTTATGCTGAGTACAGTGCAGTAGTAGATCTCCACACTGATTATTTCAGATGAATAATAGCCTGTCTTGCTGTCTTCCCAATCCTGGTTTTGACATTCTCATGTGTGCCTGTGCCACCCACCACCTGTAGTTGAAACGATGCTGGCCTGCATAGGTAGGTGAAAGAGACCACTTCCTTAAGATTTCTCCCATTCATGGTGATTGGTGCTTGTTGTTGTTGTTGATGCTGTTGTTGGTTCGGTATCTTCATCACCTTCGTGTTTTCCGCGTTGACTTGAGGGAAGTGGTGTCTTCGCTACCTCACTTGTGATGTGAACCTGTTAGTTTTCACCTGTAGATTTTCGAGTTTGTTCCACAAGACATTAGACATAAATCATTATCGGAGAAATGGAAATCTTCTAGGCTCTCTTCGTCGATCCAGCCAGCGTATGCCCCTCTTCTCACTCCTCACTGTTTGCTGGATGATCCAGTCCACCACCATCAAGAAAATCATGGGTGATAGTAGACAGTCTTGTCTTACTCCTGTCTTCACTTCGAAGGCATCACTGAGCTTCCCATTTTGAATTACTTGGCATGTGGTGTCTTCATATAGTTGTTGAATGGGGTTGATAAAGGTTTGTGGTATTCCGTAGTGTTGAAGCAAACGCGAAATTACTTGTCGGTCGACGCTGTTAAAGGCCTTTTCAAAGTCGATGAAGTTCAGGTGTAGAGTTGACTGCCACTCTATGCTCTGTTCTATGATGATGCGTAGCGTAGCGTTGCAATTTGATGCGCACATGATTTGTTCTTCCTGAAGTCAGCCAGCCTGTTCCGGTCGTAGTTTTGAATCCAGTGCACCTTTGAGTCTCAGCAGTATGATGTGGCATAATATTTTGCTTGGAGTGGACAGGAGCGTGATTCTTCGCCAGTTCTTGCAAAGGCTTATGTCTCTCTTCTTCGGGAGTTTGACAAGGTAGCCCTTCTTCCAATCGATGGCCAGGTACCTACCCTTCCTTCCACACCTTCTGCAATAGAGGTGTGAACATGTCTGCTGTTGTCTCTGCGTCTGTTTTCAGTGCTTCTGGAGGGATTCTATCTGGTCTTGCTGCTTTGCAGGTTTCAGTACTTGTATTGCATTCAGGACTTCTGCTTTTGTCGAAGGGCTTGTGTTCGCTGGTAGTTCCGTGTTTGCTTGTGGTATTTCTGAAAGGAGTTGCGGATGGTGATCTATTCAAGAGCATTTTGAAGTGGCCAGCCCATTGTTTCATTTGTTATTATAAATATATTTGTGATGAATATTTATAAACAAGAAAAAGTTTTTATAGTTCCACTAATATTTCGAACGAAGCTACCATACATGATCACACCGCCATTACTTATTGACATATGTATCAGTGACGTGCTTTGCAACCACCCAACTGCGGTTTAAAGAGGGTCCGAAATCTCGAGTCACGATCAGTATCATGAAACTGCTGTTAAGTAGATGAAAGTTATGCCAAACTAAAGTACTAATAAAAGCCGTTAATACTGACATAAGTGATTTGTGACTGTTCATGGTGTTTTGTGAAGAATAAGTGTTATTC